TATTTGAGCAATGCTAGTTTTGTAGTCGCATGCTGTACTTAGTGCTGAATCTGATTTTTTTCAGCAATAGCTTATTATCAGCCTAGCTTTATACCGCCAGGATCATCACTGTTTTCTCAGATCACGAGGCAGACATTTATTGTCTGGCACTCGGATATGTTCTAGTTTACACTATATTCACGGCCATTCGGCATTCTATTTCCTTATTTTACTAGTGTTTATTGTATTTTGGTGTTTTCCTACGACTTAGTTATCCAGCTTCTCTGTTCATTGCCGATCTGGACATATATTTCATACATATTTTCCTTTAATAGTTAGTTATTTTCAGTAACATCTATAGATTTGGAATAGTTTTATCTTTATTATTACACCATCACCTTAGGCATTCTCCCCTCCGCCCCCCTCTCCCCCCCTCCCCTCTCCCTCATTTCACTCTGCACAGACGTGTGCAGTGAGGTATTTCTGTAACCTGAGACATCAGTATATCCTCTTATCATGAGATATCGTTTTGTTTTATTGTATTAGTTCACTAGTGTTCCATTCTTTATTTACTTTTTTGATACCTTTTAGTATTTATATTCAATAAAGTTATTTGTTATTTTATTTTATCATTATTATATTTCTTTTTTCATCGTAGTAGTGATCAAACTGTACTCACAGTTTGCACTTAGTGATAGTTCCTTTTACCTTTTTGTTCTACATTGTTAGGTACTCTCTATATCTTCTTTCTGATATTTACTTTCACTAGGGGTTACCCCCCGGTTTTGAGTTTACCTAGGCTGTATTTCCACTTATTTTTTAGTTCTACTAGGTTTCAATACCTTTAAACACACAGCCACTATTGACAACATGTCTACATTTCTATCAGGAGTTATTAATTCGGATCCTGGGCTTACTGATATTAATAATGTTTTTTCTGTAAATCCTCTTCATGTACTACCTAGTAATGAAATACTACCACTCTGTATTGCCAGAGGGTGAACTGTTTTTACGATTAGCATACTTTCTTAGAAAGTATGCTAATCGTAAAAACAGTTCACCCTCTGGCAATACAGAGTGGTCTGACTCGTATTCCAACACATCTAAGAAGGATCCGCCTTATAGAAAGACACAACTATCCAAGAACAGAAGCATTCTCAGGACTAGAAATGTCACTTTTCCTGAGTTTCAAGTTTGACTAAAAATTGCATAAGTCTGGCAGAACACTCAAGTAAAATATTGTTCCATTCTTTAATTTGTTCATCCGTGGTAGCCTTATCTGGGAGTGCTATATCAGGTCTTAATCCCCGGGGTACTAAATTATGATCCAAGTACTGTTTAAGGCTAGTTAGTTCCCAATAACCTTTGATTTGTTGGTGATATAATTTTTGGATCGAGAAAAAGACTTCATTTATATCATTACTAGGTAGTACATGAAGAGGATTTACAGAAAAAACATTATTAATATCAGTAAGCCCAGGATCCGAATTAATAACTCCTGATAGAAATGTAGACATGTTGTCAATAGTGGCTGTGTGTTTAAAGGTATTGAAACCTAGTAGAACTAAAAAATAAGTGGAAATACAGCCTAGGTAAACTCAAAACCGGGGGGTAACCCCTAGTGAAAATAAATATCAGAAAGAAGATATAGAGAGTACCTAACAATGTAGAACAAAAAGGTAAAAGGAACTATCACTAAGTGCAAACATATCAACAGTTCAGGAGGAGAATTCTACAACATATATGTTCCATTTCCAATACCAAGATCTCTACTCCCTTAGCAAACCACGTTAGGGTTCATCATAATGGAGATCCTACCAATTTAAGTTTTCAAGCCATTGAAAGACTAACATTGAATTCCCGTAAAGGTAACTACAACAGAATGTTGCTAATGAAAGAATCCAGATGGATCTATCACTTTAAGACTCTTTTTCCTAATGGACTCAATGAGGAGTTTAATTTTACTCCATTTATTCATAAATAACTTTGTTTTTGTTATACAAAGTTCTTTTGATTTCCTCTATTGCCTCTTGATATAATTCTGTTTATATCATACTGATTGTACTCCTACAGAATTATAACATATTATATATTGATTACATTATATTAATTAATATATTTTTATGGTGCTTATTTTTTATTTATTTTAGGAGGAGCTTCCTGTTTGGTTTATACCATAATAATGTTGGATTGGTTAGTTTCCTATTATAATGTATGTGGTGCATACATAGTTTCCACCGAGCTCCAATCGGGGTTTTGCTATTTCTGATGTGTTTTTGCATTTATTTATTAGATGTGATTTTTTTCTTATTGTTTGCCTGTTTATTCTGTTTTTTCTTTTCTTCACTCCCTCTTTTTGTTTGTATTATATTGTAGCCAATTTACTACTAAATTTAGACTATCCTTTTATAAAATTTAGGACTGGGAAGTTTAGGGTTAATGTGTGCTCGGCAAACAGAGCCGTTGGCACACTCCTCCTATTGAGTGACATCATCCCTCTACCAGCCAATTAGGATTCTTTGAGTTTGGCCAATCAGCTATCTAGGCTTCATTTTTAAATGCTTGAGTTGGCGGCACCCAGTTCCCCTCTGACGAGCTTTGGCGAAACGCGCGCGTCAGGGGTTTCTGGCGCTATTTTATCGCCATTAATCTATCATATTTTCTTTATATTTAGTATTGTCTCTTTTCATCTGCTGTCTCATTTAGGAGAGTATTAGTGGGGGCTAGTCCTGGTGCCCATGAAGGCACATGGGGGGTTTTTAGCCTTAGGACGCTACTTATTATCATATACTAGTGGGCGTTAGTCCTGGTGCCCATTAAGGCACGTAGGGGGTCTTCAGCCTTTAGATGTTATTTATTACCATGATATTTGTTTGTTTTTTTACTTTTCTTCCGTCTTTGTGAACAGTATCACACTTATCTTGGCATTTCAGCACGATATCATGTTTCGTGCTTTCCCACTGTTATTTTCAATATCCTAGCAGCAGCCTTCACTATAACTAGCAAATGTTATCATGTATTATTCAACATTTGATAGCTCTATATTTACTCTGTAACATCTTTTCTCTCAACATATTGCTCACTATTTGAGCAATGCTAGTTTTGTAGTCGCATGCTGTACTTAGTGCTGAATCTGATTTTTTTCAGCAATAGCTTATTATCAGCCTAGCTTTATACCGCCAGGATCATCACTGTTTTCTCAGATCACGAGGCAGACATTTATTGTCTGGCACTTGGATATGTTCTAGTTTACACTATATTCACGGCCATTCGGCATTCTATTTCCTTATTTTACTAGTGTTTATTGTATTTTGGTGTTTTCCTACGACTTAGTTATCCAGCTTCTCTGTTCATTGCCGATCTGGACATATATTTCATACATATTTTCCTTTAATAGTTAGTTATTTTCAGTAACATCTATAGATTTGGAATAGTTTTATCTTTATTATTACACCATCACCTTAGGCATTCTCCCCTCCGCCCCTCTCTTCCCCCCTCCCCTCTCCCTCATTTCACTCTGCACAGACGTGTGCAGTGAGGTATTTCTGTAACCTGAGACATCAGTATATCCTCTTATCATGGGATATCGTTTTGTTTTATTGTATTAGTTCACTAGTGTTCCATTCTTTATTTACTTTTTTGATACCTTTTAGTATTTATATTCAATAAAGTTATTTGTTATTTTATTTTATCATTATTATATTTCTTTTTTCATCGTAGTAGTGATCAAACTGTACTCACAGTTTGCACTTAGTGATAGTTCCTTTTACCTTTTTGTTCTACATTGTTAGGTACTCTCTATATCTTCTTTCTGATATTTATTTTCACTAGGGGTTACCCCCCGGTTTTGAGTTTACCTAGGCTGTATTTCCACTTATTTTTCCCTCTGGGAAAGTAGTTAAATTGCACGATTTTCTTTAGCGACTGACATTGTTTCTTATTCGGGAGCTAAAGATTTGCAAATGTTATTTTTAGGTGCCCTATTTTCCCTTTGACAAAGAGAAACCTTCCCGCATCATCAGACAATTGTTCTATAAATTGAAAGGGAACCTGGTTGGCGATCAGTATTGCTACTCCCCTGGATTTTGACTCTGTAAAGGGCTGAAGTAGCCTCCTGGGTATTTGCGGTTCCTGAGGTTTGGGGCCAAGTCCTTGCGGAAGTGGGTTTCCTGTATAAACACCACCTCTGCTTTTTGTCTTTGGTAGTCCTTGAGGGCCAGCGTTCTTTTTTCAGGGGCATTGTAGCATTGTGGCCTCAGGCATTGTGGGACAGTATGCATAAGTGTGTCATGTTTTGATCTCCTGAGTTGTCTTAGCTCCGTGTAGTGCTTTGGCACTTCCCTTGGTGGGTTGGCTGAGAGTTCACTGCATGGAATGTTACTGTATAATGTGTTTTCTCGTGGTTTGGAAATACCTCTCTTATTAGAGTGTATTACGATCTGTCAATTTGTGTGCGTAAAAGAGGTCTAGAATTACCTAAGGACTGCTCTAGGTCACCTTGTGGGCAGGTGTGTAGTAATTTAACTGTATTTGTTTGCAAAGAACTGACTATCTATTTATGAAAAATAAAAGTAACTGTAACTGAATCTGAAGTACCCATCTGCACTACGGGTCAGAAAGAGAAACTTTTTATCTTTGTCCTCTCGCACTTCATGTGCCCCGGCTCCGCCTTCGGCTAAATAGGCGGGTATTCAACCAACAATGAATTAAGGTAAATTACTGTTCTCCCTCAGTGCAAAAGAGGAACGGGGTTTGTTAGGGGTGTTTGGCCAAGTGGCACTCGGGTTAGTGAAATCCACAATTTTAACCTGTTATCTTTAGGAGGCTAGGAGATACAAGCGCAAAATTCCATAGAAACCTATGTGTGTATATATATATATAAAATTAAAAATGTGTCCTCATTTTGTTTGTCAGGCTTGTTATAGGCCATGGTGTCATAATGGGGGAGGGGGGAGCGGAGGGGTGAATTATTGATGAAATTAGGATCCACCTTTGGGGATGGAGAGGAGGGAGTCGCATTTAATGAGTTCACCTGTTTTTGTCAGCCCGAGTTTGTTCCCTGCCCGTGCTTAGAGCCCTTGCATAAAATACAATAATAGCATATCTTTACGACCTCACCAGGTTTAGCAAAGTCTCGTGAGCTATCGAAATCAACTGTTAGCTCTAGAGTTCGATTAAGGATGTAAGTTCTACCGCTGGGCTCTCATCCTTAGTGTCGCTTTGGGCTTGTCGTCATCATGCCTGATCAATTTTCATTGAGGTGAGTCCTATCAGTAAACTTGAGCTGATTAGTTCACTAATAGCGCCATTCCCAGGCGTGCTGAGTAAAGCAAAATAATATATTACGTGCGTCCTGGATCTCCCAGGTAATAGCTTGTAGTTCTGTTGGGGATTTCAGTAGTGGGTTCACTATCTTGAATTATTCCCTATATATTGTGTCTGTTGGAGGAGAGTTCCAGTCCACTATTTGCGTGTTCGGCAGATCCAGTGCTCTCAGGAATGGTTGTACGTTTGCTTGTGAGGTGATGGAGGCGGTGTTCCCCTTATATGTCACTATCAGTGCGAAGGGATATCTGATGTTTCTTTGGCGTGGGAGTTCTGTGATCAGTTTCAGGGAGTTCTAGCCTGCAGAGTGTACCACGATAGATAATTGTATTGGCGAGCCATGGAATAGAAGGGGCTGAGTAGTGTCTCTAAGATTTCTCATAATGTTGTTTTTATTATTAAAGTAGTGTAATCTGCAGATAATATCTCTGGGTATTTCAGGGGTCGCCCCCCTTGGTCGCAATGAGCGATGTGCTCTATCCATTATGATTAGGTTATCTCCCTGCCTTGTCCTGAGTCCCCCCTTGCTTCTTAGGATTCCCCATTTTGTTTTGCAGCCTCCGATGGAAGTGGATTTCACCTTCGAGTGTAGAGGAGCTGTATATCCTGAGCACTTCCTTGCAGCTCAGTGGTTGGCCACGCCCCCCGTGACATGTTTTCCATTTGCAATTTTTGTTATTACTTGATTTTTTATCTTATCTTGTATACTAACCACCTTCACCTGTCTTTATTTTTTTTAATGCCCATAACTCTTACCATGTGCATATATGGAGAATGAGTTTTTGCCCATCAATAAAATGTCATCCTTAGTACTTCCATTTTCCCTGATGGATTTTACAAGACATTGTATATTGTCCAATCAGGACTTAACAAGGATTTATAAGAAGAATAAGGGGGTGTGCCATCGGTGGATCCACGTCACGAGGTGTGAAATACCCAAAGATGTCAGAAGAAGGGAGATACAATCACATGGGTAGTGCTGGAGGAAACACGTCACAGGATGTGACATATCGGCCAAAACCGGAAGTACGGGTACAGATGGAAAACGGGAGGAAAAGATGCCGATGGACATATTGTGGAGGGTATTTGGCTTATATTCACTTTGGACCTGGGAGTTCCTGTGATTATAAATAGCTACCAACACTTGGAAATCTTATCCCTGACCGCTGAACACCTTGTTTTTTCTCACTGTAAGGTCTGCGAATTTCAGCGACTATTTTAGAGACTCTAGTATAGGAGGCAAGCCACTTGGCACCTATTCTTCCATTTGATCGCTCTATAGTATTTCTATGGTGTCTATTTCCATCTATTATTATTTTGTATAGCATTTATTTACATTAATTATTGTTTGGTCATTAGTTTTCCAGAGGATACTCATAATTTGAGTGTCTTATAGTTCTTTTTATTAGGGGTCAAGCCCCAAGACACTTCTGGAGTGTCTTATAAGGTGTGATTTTCTACAGGCTGTAGTGGATTAGTCTGGTTTTTGACAGCCACCTCCTGTAGATGCTTTTTTCCTTTTGTACATTATTCAAGAATCTACACATCAGCTAAACTCCTTCAATAACAATGAAGGGTGTGGAGAGCAAAAAAAAAAAAAATCACACTGCACCTTATCCTGCTTAGCTGTCATTTAGATGCAAGTTTGAAAGGCTGTCAGACATTTTCTTGGCACAGAACATTTGATAATTGCAGGTATGGTACAGTCTTTTTGGAATAGATTCTTATTATATTTTTTACTATAAAATTAAGTCTTTATCAATATTATATTTAAAAGAAGTAGGTGAAGGGATTGTAACTATAAAGCACTATCACCAGCTACATTTTAGTTAATTTATTTTGTTTACTTTTACTAAACTGTACATTGTGATAAACTGGAGGAATAGGTTAATAGATTGCTTAGAAACTGCATGTGTTAAATAGTCTTAATAATAACAATAACAGTGCTGCTTAAATTAGTGAAAGTACTCTTACTAGTAATGGGTAACTGTCACAAGAAAGCAGTACAAACCTGTAGTATCCTATTGTCTGAATTGTTTAATGTCTCAAAAAAGTAATACAACATCAGACTACATTGTAGAAGTTATAAGGTTATTTACCAAAGTGAGAATTCAAATTAGATTTAAAGTATATTTCAACTTTAAGGTCAAAATACCCAAAATGGAAACATTCTGTGTCCGCTATGCCTTTAGTTCACCTGTTATTGCCTTAAATTTTAAATTCCCTTTTAATTTACTTTGTATTCTCATTTTAGTAAATAATGCAGTGAGCATGGTCAGTGTTGTTAAATTACAATATTTTTATTCAAAAATTGCTCAATTTTACAAGGACCTTTGAAAACTTGGAACTTAATAGCCTTTTAAATTATGAATATCCTCCTGAGAACTTTCCATTCTTGATGAAAAGGAAGAGGATAGGCTGGCATCCTGGAAGACCATGATGTCCTCTCTACAATACAACAGCTCTAAAGAATTAACCGCTTAAGGATGACAGGCATGCTATGCCACCCTTGGGGACGCGGTTCTAAACGTCGGGGGTGGCATAGCACGTCCCTGGCGTCCTATTCACTTACCAGGTCGCCGGCAATCCCACACCGGCAATAGCGGTGTGGGGACTCACCTGGCAGCCCAGGGAGTCCCCCTCCATCCATTTCGGCCCCCCTGGGCCATGTGATCGCGAGGTCCTTGCGGCATATATATGTGTAAATCCGTTCCAACTGTATTTCAAAATTATATATTGATATCAAAATACATGTAGAATGAAATATATCTATATACATAAGTATATACATATATATCACTATATGGGTGTGTATATATATATATATATATATATATATATATATATATATATAAATAATTCTACGTATAAATTTATGTAAACATTTTTACATAATTAGGACATTTTATTAATTACAATTTGTGGGACCTGCCTGAGAACCCATGCCAAATTTCCAGTGAATTTAATTGCTAGCACTATATTTAACCCTGTAACTTTCCAAGACCCCATAAAACCTGTACATGGGGGGTACTGTTTTACTCTGGAGACTTTGTTGAACACAAATATTAGTGTTTCAAAACAGTAAAATGTATTACAACGATGATATCATCAGTGAAAGTGAAATGTTTTGCATTTTTCACACACAAATGGCACTTATACAGACAATATAATTATTGTGATATGTTTTACTGTTTCGAAACACTAATATTTGTGTTCAGTGAAGTCTCCTGAGTATATCAGTACCCCTCATGTACAGGTTTTACGGTGTTTTCAAAAGTTCCAGAGTCAAATATAAGGCTTGTGTTTCAGTTTTTTCACATTGAAATCCACCAGATTGGTTACATTGCCTTTGAGATTGTATTGTAGTCCAGGAATGAAAATTACCCCATGATGGCATACCATTTGCAATAGTAGACAACCCAAGGTATTGCAAATGCGCTATGTCCAGTCTTTTTAAGTAGCCACTTAGTCACAAACACTGGCCGAAATTGGCGTTCAAAAGTTTTTGTTTTTTTTTCATTTTTCACGCACAAACAAATATTAACACTAACTTTGGCCAGTGTTTGTGACCAAGTGGCTACTAAAAAGACTGGACCTACCCCATTTGCAATACCTTGCTTGCCTATTATTGCAAATGGTATACCATCATTGGGGTAATTCTCATTCCTGGGCAACCATACGGTCTCAAAGGCAACATAACCAATCTGGCGAATTTCAATGTGAAAAAACTGAAAAATGTAACATGATATATTTGACCCTGTAACTTCCCACAACATCATAAAACCTGTATATAGGGGATACTGTTTTACACGTGAGACATTGCTGAATACAAATATGTGTATTTTATTGCAGTAAAAGCAAACAGTATTATGACTTTCACAGTTAGAATGTCATGTAGAACTACAATATTTTTAAAATTCGTATTTTCTCCTATTTTAATATTTTATTCATATTAAATTATGTTTCATACCTAAATATTTGATGTTAAATGAAAGCCCTGTTTCCCCTGAATAAAATGATATATAATAAGTGTGGGTGCACATAATATGAAAGAGGTGAATTACGGCTGAACAAATTCAAGATTTTGTTTACGTTCTGTTTTGATCACAACATGTACATTTGGTTCAGTCTTTAAGGGGTTAAAGGAGATGCATGTGAACAAAATGTGCAGTACAGAGAACACAAGTTATTGGGCTGAGTCTCAGGAGGATATGCCTTCTCTCTCAATTACATATTGATTGATATTAGTTATATTACATATTTAAAATACAAGTTAAATGTGCTAATCCCATTTTTAAGGAGCCTTCTTGAAAAATAAACCAATACTGCAATTTTGTTCATAAAATTTCAAAATACCTTTCTTGTAGCCACAACAATTGATCATTTATTTTAATGTTTCTGGAATTAAGATGAAGATAGTCATAAGTAGTCTCTGCACATCATTTGACTTATTCTCTTCTTGGACATGATTGCGGTCTTTTTTTTTTTTTTTTTTAGAATGATCATTCATAGTGTTAGCAGTGTGAGGATTATGCATGCCTTACTTTTTGTTCAGATTTAAGTCATACTTTTGTATGTTTTTTTTTTTTTTTTATACAGATTTTGATTAGATTTGTAATGTTTTAGTTTAGTGGTTTGATTTGTTTTAAATAATCTATCTAATGTGCAAGAACAATGAATGGGTTAATGTTCATGGGTCCAGTTGAGGACATTCAATTACACATATAGAAAGACAGACAGACAGAGAACGATAGACAGATTAGATACATGATAGATGATAGCAGTAGCATAACTAATGTAGAGAGGTATCATATGCGTAAATATGGAAAAAAATAAGTTACCAAATCCCCATCATAAAAGTAAATAGTTTGGTTAAAAACACTTATTTTAATTGCAAATATACAACTGATG